CTGCTAAAGGGACATACTATCATAACAAAATTAACAATTCGTCTAACTCTCGCATGCTCTTTAAAACATTTTCCTCCCTCCTTTGTCCTCCTCCTCTTCCTCCTTCATCAACTCTAACAGCTGACGACTTTGCTACGTTCTTCATTAATAAAATTACAAACCTCAGTGCACAATTTACCACACCTCAATCTTACCAACAAACATACACTCATTCACATCCTTCTCTTCACACACTGAGGCATACGTCTCCAAACTCATCCTTTCCAATCATCCTACTACTTGTCCGCTTGATCCTATTCCATCTCATCTTCTTCAAGCCATTTCTCCTGCAGATGTACCTGCACTCACTCACATCGTTAACACATCCCTTCACACTGGTGTTTTCCCCTCAACATTTAAACAGGCTTGTATAACCCCATTACTTAAGAAACCCACTCTTAACCCAACTACAGCCAGAAACCTTGGAGTTGTGATTGATGATCAGCTGACTTTCTCAGACCACATTGCTAAAAGTGTCCGCTCCTGCAGATTTGCTTTATTCAACATCAAGAAGATCAGGCCCTTTCTTTCAGAACATGCAACACAACTCCTTGTTCAAGCTCTTGTTCTGTCCAGGCTGGACTATTGCAATGCTCTCTTAGCAGGTCTTCCAGCCACTTCTATCAAACCTTTACAATTAATCCAGAACGCGGCAGCAAGATTAATCTTTAATGAGCCAAAAAGAACACATGTCACACCTCTGTTCATCAATTTACACTGGCTACCAGTAGCTGCTCGCATTAAATTCAAGGCATTAATGTTTGCCTACAAAACCACCACTGGCTCTGCACCCCTTTACCTACATTCATTACTTCAGAGTTATGTGCCTCTAGAAGCTTGCGTTCTGCAAGTGAACTTCGCTTTATTGTTCATCTCAAAGAGGCACAAAATCACTTTCACAGACTTTTACATTAACTGTTCCCTCCTGGTGGAATGACCTGCTCAAATCAATCCCAGCAGCTGAGTCCTTAACCATCTTCAAGCATCAGCTAAAAACACATCTCTTCCATCTTTATTTGACCCTCTAACTCTAGCACTCTCTATTCTAGTTCTATTCTTTATTTTTAAAAACTTGCCCCTTTTAGACTTGCACTCTATTTAATTACAAAAACTAACAAAAAAAACTAACACTTGCTTCTCTAATCTTTTTGTATCCTATCTATTTGTTTTCTTTTTATTTATTATACAATTAACAAAAGCAAAAAAGGCCTCTAACACTAGCTTGCTCTATTCTGTTTCTATTCGATGTTTTCTTTTTATTTATTATATGTTTAAAAAAAACCTTGCTACGTGTACTGCGTTAAGCTAACTGAGACTTGTTATAGCACTTGCTTATCATTGCTCTTTTGTTGATTTAGATTGCTTCTATTGTCCTCATTTGTAAGTCGCTTTGGATAAAAGCATCTGCTAAATGACTAAATGTAAATGTAAACTCATGTGACTCCTCGTGATACGATCAGACTGAATCAGAATCATCTGAATCAATCACATCATGTCTGTGAGGGTACTATGGTTTCTTAAAGCTCCAGGTCGTCCCTCACGTCTCTGTGATCTTCTGGTCTGTAGATGTGCGTCTGTAGGTTTTATGGTGCAGCAGGTGAAAATGTTGCGTCACTGTACGCACCAGTACTCTAGTGATGACTGACAGCTGAAGTGAATCACGTTCACGAGTGGCGTTTCTTGCCGTGTGAGGTTTGTCTGGAGTGTGTGAATCTATCAGTAGGAGGAAGGAGAGAGATGTCGCTGTCGTTGGTGTTGTTGTTGTTTTTGTGGGTGTAGCGGAGCATGTCTTTGGTCACACCTGCACAGAGCTGCCAGGATGATGGATGCTCCATTAGCGCAGCTGTAATTGGCATTCTCCACGCTTCACATCCATACGCCGCTGTGTGGTTCCTCCACACAGACCTGCTACTGCAATTCAGCCGCTATGAGCTCTCAATCTGAGCCTTCCGTCCGTCTGTCTGTCTGTGATGGTGTTATTCCTGTGTGCTAAAGACAGCAGTGACACTCTGAATATACGTGTTGTCGTCAACATCATAGCAGTGAGCACTCACTTTCATGGTTGCTTTGATACTGTTTTTTTCATATTAATTTACTCCATATTATTATTTTATTTTTTATTATTTTATTTTATAATTTTTAATTTTCTTTCCATTTCATAATTTTTTATTATTTTATTTTTATAATTTACGTTCATGTTTTATTTTTTATAAAATGTTTAATTTTTTATTATTGTAATTTATTTTATTAATTGTCATTTTATTTTATAATTTTTATTTTTATAATTTTATTTTTTGTTTTGTATAATTGCATTTTAATTTATTTTACTTTTTATTTTATTTTATTGTTTTTAAATTTTAAATTTTAAATTTTATTTTGTCATTTTTTTAGAATTTTATTTTATCATTTTTATTTTATTTTTTATAATTAAATTTTTAGTTTTTTTATAATTGTATTTTATTTCTATTTTATTTTATATATATATATATATATATATATATATATATTATTATTTTTTAATTAATTAATTAATTAATTAATTTTATTTTATTTTATTTTATTTTCCCTGAGTAAACATCTAGTCCTAAGATGCCATTAGATGCCATTTGGTTCCAAGCAAAATAGTGTTAAAAATACTTTTTAAACCTTTTTTAAAAAAACTTTATTTTAGAGAGTTACTGATGGGTTTGAGACTCAGCCAATAGTGAACAACAGCAAATGCATGATAAACATGATAAAACAGATGTTTTTCCTGTAGAAACATCAGTCACGGGCCTCATTTGTGTTCAGGTTCGCTCTGACACTGAAGCAGATTGTCTTGTATTGCTAATAGATTTTCATGCTCTGATGGAGGTTTGTGTGTGTGTGTGTGTGTGTGTGTGTGTGTGTGTTCTGTATCGGGATGGCGGGTGAATTGGAGCAGGACCGTTGGGGTGGCGACTAATGAAATTGTGCTCATCTAAAACAATGAAGGTCAGGAAATTAATTAGTTCAAGTCATTAGCTCAGAGGAATCAGGCGGCCCGTCTGAAGATTTCGCTCTAAATTGCGTGTCGTGGCTTTTGTGCGTGAGCGACGCGTTGGCGCTTAATTGCGCCACTTAAGATTAAAGCCCAGAGACGCGGGGCAGAATTAAGCAGCTCTTTGTTGATCCGCTGCTTTTCACTCATCTCAGCGTTTCATTAACAAAATGACTAGCCTTCCAGAGTTCAGCTGACGACCAACACGAGCAGACAGAAACACCTGGCCGCTAAAACTCTGGCATTAAATGAATGTTCCCACTCTCTCTCATCATTGTCTTCTAGTTCATATTTATCTGAAGTATCAATTTGTTATGCTTGAGGTTTTAGTTTTAGTTCGACCCTGATCTGTAACAGGGGTTTTCGAACTGCTGTCTGTGGAAAAAACGTAATATCTCAAGTACATTTATACCTAATCTAATTTGATATTTATTTTGTATATTTTTTCATTTCATTTTCATTTTACATACAATTTTTGTAATTTTGTTTGTCATTATCATTAGTTTTTTTAAATGTCCATATGGTTTTTATAAAATTTTAGTGTATTTAGTTTTGGTTATTTTAGTACTTCAACTGAAACAAAAATTAGAAATGTTGCAACTATTTTTATTTATTTACTTTTTTCCATTTATATATATATATACTTGTAATAAAAGAAAAATTAACTGAAACGATTAATTTTCTATAGATTAGATAATCAATTTGTTATGCTTGAGGTTTTAGTTTTAGTTCGACCCTGATCTGTAACAGGGGTTTTCGAACTGCTGTCTGTGGAAAAAACGTAATATCTCAAGTACATTTATACCTAACCTAATCTAATTTGATATTTATTTTGTATATTTTTTCATTTCATTTTCATTTTACATACAATTTTTGTAATTTTGTTTGTCATTATCATTAGTTTTTTTAAATGTCCATATGGTTTTTATAAAATTTTAGTGTATTTAGTTTTGGTTATTTTAGTACTTCAACTGAAACAAAAATTAGAAATGTTGCAACTATTTTTATTTATTTACTTTTTTCCATTTATATATATATATACTTGTAATAAAAGAAAAATTAACTGAAACGATTAATTTTCTATAGATTAGATAGATACTAGTTAATGATAAATAAATTATAAAAATAAGATTCAATTAATTGGCTGAATAAATAAGTATATAATTTGATTAAAAGAAATACAAATTTGATTAAACAAATAATTTTTTTATACAAAATAAACATAATAATGTAACATGAAAAAAACATATATTTACAATATAATATCTTTCTTATATTTATAATATACATTTTTCAACATATAAATTGCGTCTTTACTACTGTAGAAATAACAGCTGAAAAAAATGACTTTGTATGTTGAAATTACATTAATGTGCTCACTCATCGTTTTATTTCTGTTAACATGCATTATATTTTGAGTATCAATTTTTATTTATTTAGCATGGTTTTAGTTTTAGTTAACGATAATAAACCTGATTTAAAACTGGGGTCCGTAGAAAATACTAGAGAAAAACTGTGTAGAAATGTAAAAATAAATAATAACAAGCTACTTAACAAAATGTAGCTAACTGCTTTAAATCTACTTTACTTTCAGCTAGCTAAAGGGAAATTTCTTTCAAGTTACATGGCTGTAATATTAGCGATATGATGGCTGAAATGTCCTTCTGTGTTGTGATCATATTCAATTCAATTCAAGTTTATTTGTACAGCGCTTTTTACGTTACAAATCGTTGCAAAGCAACTTTACAGCAAATTAGGTTTCTACAATATTTAGTGGTAGTTTATCAGTGGTGACTGTCAGTTAATGTACATATGGCAGAAATGTACGGAAAAATCTATTTAAGACGTAATCAAACAGACTATTAACAGCAATTATTATATGATGCAATCAAACTTATAGCAAAATGTGGTAGTTGTGATTGATGTTGTCTCTGCCTCTCAGAGCCTCCGATCCCCATCGCTCCTCCTCAGCTGACGGCGGTTGGCGCCACCTACCTGTGGATTCAGCTCAACGCAAACTCCATCAACGGCGACGGGCCGATTATCGAGAAGGAGGTGGAGTACCGCACGCTTTCCGGAAGCCTGATCGACAGCCAACCAGTCGACAAACCTAACCACAAGATCGGCCACCTGGACCCCGACACAGAGTACGAGATCAGCGTGCTGCTCACCAGACCCAACGAGGGCGGCACCGGGGCCCCGGGGCCCCCGCTCAGGGCCCGCACCAAGTGCGCAGGTAAAAAAAACTGTCATTTTACTACTTCACAGCTTATTCATTTGGCGACTGACAACCAGTGATGGAGAAGCTACACTGAAAGCCGTTTCTCTAGTTATTCATACCAGAGTTATTTTTAGATACTTTTGTAGTTTTTATTTTATTATTTTTAAATAGATTTTAAAGTTTTTGTAATTTTTTGTGTTGTTTATTAATCTTTATTTATTAGTTCTATTTTATTTAGTTAAATTCGTTTTTTAATTTTTTATTATTATTATTATTTTATTTCAGTTGACAACTATTTCATTTCAAGTAATGAAAATGTTTAGATTTTTTAAATGGTTTTAGTTTTAGACAATGATAATAACCTGGAATGATGGGGGTTTTAAAATAGGGAAAAACTATCTAAATGTGAAGATAAAAAATAAGCTAATCATTTGATTTACATAAATAAATAAATTGGAAAATGAAAAATATTAAATGAAATTTTTTTTTATCTAACAGTGCAGTACTATAGTGAGTAAAAAAAACACATAATACTGCAACATAAAAAGCATAAATATTATTTTCCAAATATTATTTTGCATATTTATAATATTGTTTTAAATAAATAAATAATTTGATTAAAATAAAAAAGATTAAATCAAACAAATGAGTAATACATCTAACAGTACAGTACTATAATGAGTAGAAAATAAACATCATAATGTAACAATTGAAAAAAATTCCAAATAATATTTTATTATTATTTGAACATACATTTTTTCCCACTGTATAAGTTGGGGTTTTATGCATAAAAATATATAGATGAATTTATTTATTTATTTGTTTGTTTATTTTAATTTTAGTATGGGGGTCAGTGTTCATCTAAAATATTGAAAACCCTTGATCTGTACTGTCCGATACAAACAAAAAGTAGCTGTGCTGAATCTATTCACTTTAAGCTAAGTAAAGTGACATTTTCTTTTTAGTTACGTAACTACAATATTAAAGTTTTTTTTATATACAGCAAATCAAATCAGAGTGTATTTGGTACAAAAATATTTTTTATGCATTTAGCAGATGCTTTTTATCCCAAGCGACTTACAATCAACTTACAATACTTGCATTATACCTGTACACCTACATTTACACGAAATACAACTGATAAAACCATTTAAATTAATAATTTGATACAAAAAAGGTTCAAAGTGATGTGCAGAACCAAAAATGTGTCTGAAGATTAAGTAATTTATGAATCTTTTTTAGAATCTTTTTTTTAATTGAACTGCTTCACCACAGTCCAAATGAACTGATTCACTACAATTAACTGATTCACTACAAAGAACTGATTCACTACAACAAACTGATTCACTACAACGAACTGATTCACTACAACGAACTGATTTGCTACAACGCACTGCTTCACTATGATTAACTGATTCACTACCACAAACTGATTCACTACAATTAATTGATTCACTCCAACAAACTGATTCACTACAATGAAATGATTCACTACAACAAATAACTGATTTACTACAATGAACTGATTCACTACAAAGAACTGATTCACTACAGCACACTGATTCACTACAATGAACTGATTCACTACAACAAACTGATTCACTACAAAGAACTGATTCACTACAATTAATTGATTCACTCCAACAAACTGATTCACTACAATGAAATGATTCACAACAAAGAACTGATTTACTGCAATGAACTGATTTACTACAATTAACTGATTCACTACAATTAACTGATTCACTATAGTGAACTGATTCATTACAACAAACTGATTCACTACAATGAACTGATTCGCTACAACGAACTGATTTGCTACAACGCACTGATTCACTATGATGAACTGATTCACTACAACAAACTGATTCACTACAACAAACTGATTTACTACAATGAACTGATTTACTACAATGAACTGATTCACTACAATGAACTGATTCACTATAGTGAACTGATTCACTACAGCGAACTGATTCACTACAGCAAACTGATTCACTACAATGAACTGATTCACTACAACAAACTGATTCACTACAACGAACTGATTTGCTACAGCAAACTGATTCACTACAACAAACTGATTTGCTACAACAAACTGATTCACTACAATGAACTGATTCACTACAATTAACTGATTAACTAAAATGAACTGATTCACTACAATGAACTGATTCACTACAATGAACTGATTCACTACAACAAACTGATTCACTTCAATGAATCTTAATGTAGTTCATTTAGTTTTAGTGCAAGTTAGTGTCTTCCCAATCCCTGGTTGTGTCGTTGTGTCTTGATGCTTCATTCAGTGAGTTGAGATTCGTTCATGTGAGTCTCACAAGGAGTTCATTAGCTAAATAAACACTTTGTTAGTTGTTGTTTAGATGCTCCGGTGTTTCTCTTGTAATGGCGCAGGAAAGCTTTAGCGTTATTAGGGGTTTGTCACATTAGCATCACGCCACCGGAGCTCCGGGACCCCAGCAAACCACACGCAATTATCACAGTAATTAAGCAGGTGCAATGACTCTCATTCCCGATGACTGCTGTGATTGTATTAGCGCTCAGGATCACCGCGTGACACTCCCACACCAGGCTAATCGCTAATCCATTAGCCTGAGTGCTAACTGCCCATTAGCGCATCACAGGATTCATCAGCCAATCGGACGAGAGGTGCTCGAGGCCATAAAGAGTGGAATGACAAAACTGCATTTACATAAATTATCATTCCATTCCATTGACTGTCCGGTCATTAGCATATATTTGCTCTGACAGCCTTTAACAGAGAACGACTGAACAGCAGAGCGTTTCTGATAAACAACAAATGCTCTGTTTGTTTTGCTCGTACTATGGTACTACCGTGGTATACTGCTGTATATGGTGGTGGTTGAGGAGATTCCCCAGAGTACCCAGAAAAGTGCTATATAAATGTAACAAATTATTATTATATGTTTTATGTAGACAAATACATACATTTATAAACATACAGTACATGCACTAGACATATACATGCATGCGTTATATACATTAAATAAATAAATAAATACGTATATACACTTACTTTGTATATTTGTTTGTAAAAAAATTTAATAAATGGAATATATTATAATAAATATTATATATATATATATATTTGTATGTATGTACACATATGCATATTTATATCTGCAAATTTGATTTAAATTTGTGTATTGTTATTCATACAAATATATATGTGTATTCCTTTATATACAAATGCATAGATATGTTAATTATATTTCCATATATAAAATGTGTGTTTGCATATGTGTATGTACACATACATAAATTTATGCTTGCATATACAGTATATTTACATATGTGACCCTGGAGCACAAAACCAGTCATAAGGGTCAATTTAGTGAAATTGAGATGTATGCATCATCTGAAAGCTGAATAAATAAGCTCTCCATTGATGTATGGTTTGTTAGGATCGGACAATATTTGAAAATCTGGAATCTGAGCGTGCAAAAAAATCTAAATATTGAGAAAATCATCTTTAAAGTTGTCCAAATGAAGTTCTTAGCAATGCATATTACTAATCAAACATTAAGTTTTGATATATTTACAGTAGGAAGTTTACAAAATATCTTCATGGAACATGATCTTTACTTAATATCCTAATGATTTTTGGCATAAAAGAGAAATGTATAATTGTGACCCATACAATGTATTGTTGGCTATTGCTACAAATATACCCCAGCGACTTAACACTGCTTTTGTTTTATATTAGTTTATTTTTATTAATATGTGTATTTGTTTATATATAAATGCATATATGTGTATGTAAATCATATTGCATGTATGTGTGTGTGTAGTACTGTGTTTGCACTGGTTAACTGTAGTGTGAGTTGTGTGTTGTAATCGGATCTGAATGCGCGGCGTCTCTGTTTTGACGTGAAGGAAGTGAATCTTCAGATCTCAGAGTGGCAGTGGATCATGTGTGCTGCTGAAGGGACGGGACACGCTTAACTCATGTGACCTCAGCATAGTCAACATAACACTCATACCTGCAGCAGCGCCACCTGTTGACCGACACACACACACACACACACACCGATCACATGACACGCTGATGGAGCAGAACACAGAAACACACAGACGCCATATTGGATTTGATGTGAACTTATCTCACAAAAATATGTTCTAAGAATGTTTTTCTGATGTTCCCATTAAATTATGAAAACAGTATTTCTAAATGTTTTCTGAACGTTCAAAACGTCCAGTGTAAGGCGACATTTCTATTGTATCATCTTGCAAACATTATGGGAGCGTTACATTTGGATGCTCTCTGAACGTTCTGAAACAAAGTGACATGAAAAAACGTCAGATGAACGTCCAACTAAAACATAAAAAAAAACGTTATAAATGGTTATATTAATTAATTTTAATAGTACAAAAGCATGTATAATTAGCCTATGAAATGTTTTATTTTTTTTCCCAAATTCAGTTTGAATTTTTCTGCATTAAATTTACATTTTTTAGTAAACAGCAAGGCTAATTAATTGAACTCATGGAACTTACACAGTTTAACAACTATTTATTTAAAGTTTTTTATTATTATTTTTTTATTTTTTATACACATACATTTTTAGGGCCCTTTGAATTAGTTTTCTTAAATTTAGTTTTTTTTAACCAAATTTTGTGTTTTTCAGTTTTTCTTTTTGGGATTAAAAGCATGAACTTCTCAAACTTAAACAAATTTAAAATTATTAAAAGTTTAGCAAATTTATTTCAAAATGTATTCATGCATAATTTGTCACATTACATGTCAATGTATGTTATACTATAAATGCAGTTTTTTTTACTGAATTCTGTGATTCTCTCCGTGATTTTCACATCACAGAAATCATGAGAGCAAGATGGTACAATGGCATCCAAATATCTGAGAAAAAACAAGGGTTATTTTTTGCATTATTAATTGTATTCATCATAAATCTAATAATGTGTCAAAATAGACGTGTTAAAATACGTCTGATGTTACTTCTGCTTCATTGATC